CCCCCGCCCCCACCCCACCCCCCACTCCTCACTTTATTGTGGACAAATCTTAAAGCAAATGCAGTGAATATTTAAGTCATGAGTTTCTCCAGGTTATTATCGTGCATAACGTTGAATAAATAAATACATATAAAACAAAGATTCGTTGCAAAAGTATTTCAACTGTACACCATAAATTTATTCTTAGTTTATTCAAGGGATTTTTGACCTTTTAAAATAAAGTTAAAAAATCTTATTAATGTGGATACGCAGTACAAAGTCAAATATTTTAAAGAAAGCGTCTCATATCTGTTTTCTTGCTGTTGCGACAAAAAAAAACCGCGGGATGTGGCGGAGTAGGAATTCGATGCATTTCCACTTCTCCCGCGCTTGGAATATTCGGCGCTGATCGTGTGCACGCAAAACGTCACACAGTGCCTCTTAGTCCCTTGTGCCATAAAGGATGCACACACACAGGCCACAACATTAGGAAACACAACTTCTGGGCCCTCAAGGTGAATTCGCTATAGGCGACATAATACACATATGCCCGTGAATCATAGTTTAAGATTTATTGAAAATACTGACATTTAAGAACATAGTAAATGTGTCGCAAAGTTTTCAGACGACCGGAAATCTGCACTTAGAAATAAAATTCCCGAAGAATGAAATCGAATTTCCTCCATGATCTAAGTTAAAATTTTTGTTCTATATAAATTAAATGGTGGGAAAGATACTAAAGACTTCAAAAGGAATAGATAAACTAAACAAATTGGAGGTGCATTCATTAAGATCTGTATTTATACGGAAAATGCAGAATCTTATCAACATCATTATTAATGCTACCAACTAAGCTTTAATTTAAACACATTCCTTTACATTTCCACATTAAATAAGAATTGACCAAAAAGCTATTTGAATTTACGAGGCAAATTTTAGTCCTGAAATATTAATAAGAACTAATTTAAAGATTGAGTATCCCATCAATCCCACAACACTGAAGTGAGATACATGAAAAGAATCTCATATTTTAAGAAAAAATTAGATATTGAAACTTTTCCAATGAAAACCAATTCATCTATGATTTACTGATTTGCTATCTTTCGTACAATTGTAATAGTACTTTCAGTAAATGTTCAAATAAAGTATCAAAATTTAAACTAGTTTCCACTTTATGATTTTTTTAGAATGTCTACAGCCAAGGTATAATTTAATTAGACTTATTTGGCATATTCTAGCATTATTACAAAAATGCACGAATTTTTAATATTTGTATAATTAATTAAAATTGACATGAGACTTTGCATTAAATAAAAACTATAAGTCTGTCTTAATATGATTTGCATGCAGCTAATATAAATTAACTAGATTTACCTGAATTCATCCAAGTTCGTGACCTTAAATTTTAAAATTTTACACGATTTCAAGGACAAAGTCTATTTCTAATTTGAATACATAAAACAAATTAACATTTGAACATACTTTCACATTTTTTAAATTTCACGCTAAAATTTACACTTTAATCTAATGATATTGTTCGAAAATTGACTATTTTACCATTTGACTTTCCTCACTTTTACTACTTCTGCTAAATGTTACCTATTTAGATCCAGGCTTAACAATTTTTCCCATTTGATCAATAAACATTTCAACTAATCATAAAGGAATATAAATTCAATAACTATTAGATATAATAAATTCTATCGAACTTTTAATCTAAATTTATTAGACAGAATAGGCATCTAACTAGAGGGTTTTAGAATTTTAAAATTTTGGCCACTATTTAATAATTGTAAAAGAATATGTATATCATAAATATTATGAACTATTACCGTATTGGTAATCTGATATATTAAAAGTCAATCAGCTATACGCTTGTATGGCCAATGAATGTAGTATCGAAACTAATAATTTTTTTTCGAACCTCTTTGTAGTGTTTCCATTTTAAAATGGTTAAGTTATTTTCTTTCCCATAAAGTTAGCCTAATTTTCATAAATTTCTGTCTATTTTTGCAAACGAAATGCGATATTCTGAAACTTACACTCTTGTTCATTGCTCCTTGGAACGAACCTTCATGCTTAATCAAAGTTACTTTTTGCTTCATTTTGTACAAATCCTGTAAAATTAAGAGATACCCACTGAAACTACTAAAATTTGTCCTTAAAGCAAAAATTAAAAAGCGGGGTTTGAGTGTTAGAAGAAAAATTAATATTCCTCTGTAAAGAGGAGTGA